ATCACAGAATATTGGTATTTAAAAMRGAAGAAAMATGTTCTTAACAGATGAAGAGGAAATTATTGACATCCCTAAACATCTGTTTTATTTGGATATTTTCCTGGATAATTCTGTACGAACAGATTGTCATCRTCTCTCCTTCATAGTTTGCAAAGACACATTTCTGCTGAGTCCAGGAAAAGTAATCCAGATGAWGGAGCTCCTGACCTGATGAAGCTTATCTGAGTTTACAGGACTCCACACATGACAAACCTAAAGGAAAGAGACCATTTCTGTGTTTTCCTTCATACATTGATTAATCCTGACTGACATGATGAGCACAGATTGTAAAGCAGCTACTTTTATATCATATTCAGACAGTATGACTCTGTAACATAAAAATCTGCATCTGCAAAGATCTATAGCTTTTTGCTCACGTTAATAAAACAGGAACTAACCTCATCATGAGACATWACCGTATGCTGGGTTTTCTACAGGGAGAGTTAAAGGGATAGTTGARATCTGGAAATATTCTGAATTAACATCTTACCTGTTTTAGAGCTTTTTGAACAAATCAAAAYAATAAAAGGAGTGTTAAACTCGCTCCATACTTCACAAGACGTAAGGCGTCTGTTCTCACGCGTGCTTGTGAGCTGTTTTTTATTCATTTCATTTGTTCGYATGAATTTTCTCAAACAGAAACTGAAGTCTGTAGGTCCTCCCACTGCACGTCACGAGCAAAAGAATACAAACAACTAGACAATGCCAGCACAATAAACGTTTGGTAATTCTGATCAGTTGGACGAGTTGATGGGTAATCAGAGCCTTGGTCAGCTGAACTCATTCATTGATCACATTATGTTGCCGAGTCTAGACCGGACCACCTGCCCCACAGGCTGKTCAGTCTGAACTCATCAGACCACCTCCTTCAGAGTGCAATCTTTATGCTCCCTAGATTAAAGCCGTTTTTTTCTAATTAGCCTGATAAGTGGTTTTCTTACAGCTACACAGCTGTTTAGTCCCAGTCCCTCGAGTTCTTGTTGCATTGTGTGYGTGTGTTTGTGTGTTTGTGTGTGTGGAAATGTTCTCACTTTCATTATTAAGCATGAGCCATGAGTTCTGTTTTTCTACGATATGATTTCACCAAACTTTTACGAGATCTCCACTGTCCTTTCAGTTAGTGCGTTGGACAGCTCTTAACCTAATTTTAGTAGTTTCATTAACCGCTTTAGATGTTTTCTTTGTTTGATGCCAATAATTTGACCCTTCTGAAACAGATTAACGTGTTTTCTACAACCACAGGACGTGTCTTTAGGCATAGTTGTTTAACAAGTGAGAAGCCACTTTTGCCAGCTGAAACATAATCCCCCGTGCAGTAATCAYCCAATGAGAGTTAGTGTTAGTGTATGGAACGGTAAAAGATTAAATAGAGCTATTCAAATGAAAAAAATAAATAAATAAAACTAATCTACCCCTGTCGTGATTGCTCCGTTGTATACGTCACTGAAACTTGATATACAGATTTAAAACTAGTAGATCTGAATCTTTTTGCATCTTGTTACACTAATTTGTGTTTTTCATTCACACTCACAGTAGGAATCTGCGTCAGTAAAACACTCAACGGCAGAAAGATTTTGCGTACAGTTGCAATTTGGTTTTAGTTTTTACCCCCACGTGTGGCCGGGTAAGACCTTTCAAAGCTCCTGGAGTCAAAGACCAGGTTTTATGGAAACAAAACCCAAAACAATGTTTCTAATCCCTAGAYAATGCGATCATTGTTTCACCCCCCACCATCTGTTAATCATCACATACTCATGTGTACTTTGAGAGATGATAAATATAAGGCATGTTTAAATGGCAATATTGTATCAAAACCTGTAGAATTGTAATTAAAAATGTATAAAAGATGTTGAYGAACATGTGAAAGAAATCTAAAAAAATGTCCAACTATGATGTAAATTGAAGTATATGAGGAACTGCTGCTAAGGTCTGTAAATTGCACTTCAGTAACACAAAAAAAGTGAATGTTTGTACTGTACATGTGAATAAAACCTCTAAATCTTGTATTTCATTTTGCCTTTTGACTTCATTCATAGTGCTTGTCGAACTGAATTTAATTTTAATGCAAAAAGACCATTTGGTTGTGTTAAAGGGGAGTATTTGTCAGATATTAGATCACTTCCACCTTGTCCTAATCACCCTGTCAGTGTGATAATGTGCTAACCCTCGAGAGCATCCACACAATTACTGAAGGGACCTCCCACAGCTGCGGGGCCTCCCGGGGGAAATCCACGGGGAAATGGTTATCGCTGTTAGGCTCGTGGCAGGTGTCATACAGAGCAGCGACCAAATTAGCCTGGAGGATAGGAGAGAGGTCAAGGGCTTTGAGGTATTCCACTCCTCCCCACCCCCACAGCTRTGGAGTCCACTATGAGCTCCACAATAAACAACAGAATTGACAATTTGATGCAGCGGCTGGTCAGAGTCAGACATCTTTTTTGTCTGGTTTTCACTGAGCAGGATTAAACCTGGACCTCCTCTCTGTTCTTGTCCACAACACCAGAACAGAGAGAAGGTCCAGGTTTAATCCTGTTCAGTGGAAACCAAGAGTTTGACTCTGTGTCAACATGAGCTGATAGGTCACACCAACACACAGAAAAACAAAATAGTTTTGTATGTTTCCTTCATTGTGTTTATGATTTCTCTTGAGAATGGTCAACAAGGCTGACAGCTCATTGGGGGTGCTGTATCGAAATATCGGATATGTGAATTGTGAAATCAAGACCAGGTTAGAGGTCAAGTGATGTGAAAAGTTCAGTTTGCCAGCTAAAAATTTTATTTTTGCACTCCGGTTTCTTTCAAAAGAAAGTATGCCCACAACACAGAAAAGCAGCATCATCAGGTCAGGACTCTGCAGTTTACACTCATCTACAGGCCAGGACTCTGCAGTTTACACTCATCTACAGGCCAGGACTCTGCAGTTTACAC